TATCGTCTCCTACAGAGCCTCGGGCAAAGACACACTCCTGCTTTCTCTTCATTTTCCCTCGTTCCCTGCTGATCCTCACCTTGTTTCAATCCCGCAGTTCAGTCCTCACCTTAACTTTTTCCCCCCCAAATACCACTCCCTGGTCTCTTACTGCATCTCTGTCCTTGCTCTTAAAAGGGAACACCACCTAAATTAAAAATTCCAATATGTTGCTTCCGTGGTGTAACTAAGTTCAAACCGTTTGCGAACATGAGCTTCTCACTTTCAAAGTAAGAGACCAGAGGTAAATCTTAAACATGTGATGTCATGAAGTATTAGTTTGGAGCTGCTCCACAGACAATGAATGGGAGAATGATTTTGTGATTTTGTTTTCCTTTTTATACCCAAATGAGCATTTTTCTAATGTAATGCCCTCAGTTGTGAAACAGAAAATGCACCCGTGTACTCAAAACATTCCCCTGGGTGCTCTCAGTGTCATCTATAACATCTTTCACCATTCAGTCGTTGGCTTTCCATCCAACTATAGTGCAAAATGTGAGTGAATTTTCATAAAATCTGCAAAAGAAAATGACGAATATTGGGAGATGGTTCACCAAGATAAGATGTAGGTGGCACCAATTCAAATCCATATTCCGAAATCCCAAATACTTCCACATTGCTGATTTATTCCAGAGAAAATAACATTATCCTCATCATCTTTCTCTTGACTGCTCGCCATCTACCTGCCACTGTTTGATGCTGACACAGACTTTCAAAATAAAAGCGTATCCTAAAGATGATGATATAGATCGGTGTTTTCACTTTGCATTGACGACAATGGATCGTTGTTCATTTAATCAATTATTGCAGATCGATGGATTGTTACACCCCTACTTTTTGACTATCTTTGAAATGACATGTATGAATTTTGCAAATGGCTGTAGCTCCCCTTTAAAGGAACACCGCAATTAACAACTTGGGTTTTTCTTCTGTAACTGTGTTTCTCATCATTTCTATTGGTTATAATAACACTCCTCTCACTAAACTAATTGCTGAAATCTGAGAACAAAGCGACCGTGCAACAACGTCTTTCGAAGGTCAGCTGGATTGTAAACAAACAGTTCAGCCAAACAGGTGTCTAAACTACTTTATTTAAAAAGTAAAAACAAAAGTTAACCTGAAATGTCGGTAATAATCCTCCATTACACAATGTCATGGCACAACTATGGTAAGGACAGTAGTTTGTGTGTAAACTGTGATAATTTCAACAGACAGTTTCTAGGTTTCAATGTTGGGGCAGCTGAGTGGCATTATGAAGCTCTTCAATCTTTCACTTAAGTATCTTTTCTAAATAATTTTCCTTCCATTTTGTTCATTAGCTTCTATTCTCAGTTTTGACACGGCCCTTTTGTCTTTCCTCTGCAAATCCTCAATGGACTCCTCAGCAGTCAGCACTTGTGTATGACATTGATTTGTCTATGAATCGAACCAAAGCAACCCTCTCTGTACCATTCCTGTCTAATATTGGCAACTAACAGCTATTACTGCTGGCAGTTAGCTTCTTTAATAAAATTATCTTGATCCCTTGATCAATAAGTTCCTGGTAAATAAACTCCCAGGCATCGATCACCACCGCAGTCAAGAGTAACTAATGCAAGGATGCCAGCGTGGGGTGGTGATATTTATTCAGTAACATTAATATTTTGGTGTGTTTTGTATCTTTTTACCAGCTGCATATATTACGGAAAGGCTTGGCAACAGTTCAAGATATGAGCATGCTGTGTTGTAGACAGAAGAAGAAAGGGTAATATCCTCCTGTGGTTTTTCATCAGACAAAGAGAACAGGAAGTGTCCTCTGTTTCAGTGGCTTTAGGTAAGGCTATGTGTGTGCTTTAGGGATGTGGGTGCAGTTAGAAAAAGTAATAAATATGCAGGATCATAAAAATACTGTTTATATAATAAATGCAGCAGTAGTGGTCAAGAATAACTTTTGCCTATTTATTCAGAGTACCCAAGTGAAGCTACATGCATGTTCTTTGTCAGTGAGTGAGGCTCATCAGAGCGGCTAAGTCCTTGAGATGTGTGGAGGGCAAACAGGGAAGTGGCCTTGGTTAATGTGCCAACAGGCAAACGTCTGATCTGTGTGCCCATATCATTGCTGGCATGAATAAAAAGGCACCCACTGTACGCCCAGGCCTGGCTTTAACTCTGTCCTGCCATGCATACTAACAACAAGCTCAACCAGTAGGGAGATTTGCCTGGCCTCGATCATTAGCATAGCGTTAAGGGATTATTCAGATCACTGCCTGAAATCCCTTAATTGTAATAGTACACAAAAAAGTCATCTGCGGCAGAAAGAGGCCATCCCATTCCACAGAGCAAAGTTGACTTGTTGCCTATCCTGAAATTTGGGAATGAATCTACGGTTCGTTGTGCGTGTGCCTGCATGTTCTTAAGTTTGTGTGTGTGTGCGTAAATCATTAATTCGAAATGGCATACCACAAATCTGGCTGCAGATACACGACCTTGGATTTGAGGGGTTAATTAAAAGCAAATTAAAAGTCATTAAGCCTGCAAAACACCTGCTTATTCTGAAACAACACGTCAAAAAATGGGATGTCATTAATGTGCTAATACCAAATCCCCCTTCGCTTTATTTGTGGTTTTCTTTTAGTCAGCAACACAATAGCAGAGGATTCACACATTATTATCCTCAGTCAATATTGACCACCAGCCCCCAAGTTAATTGGAAAAGTAAACCTGCAAAGACTCAGGCTTGGGCCTGACTAAGCAGAAGGTTCAAAAGGATAATGAAAACTGCGGAAAAAGAAAATAATATTGTCTGTGCAGGTTGAATGGCTCGGGGGAAACATGGGTGGAATAACACAATTGAGAGCAGACTGCTCATCAAAGGAGGCAATCTGGCTAAGCTTGTCCCTGCCCGTCGTGCAGCGTCTGCCAACCCAGACATGAACACTAGTGATCTTCATCATAGCTCACCTCAGGCTAGGATTAACAGGCCACTAACTCCCTGTAAAAGCCTCCCCCTGAAAACTACCGTGATTTGGCAGGGTACAGGCAGGCAAAAACTGTATTCAGATAAACACACACACATAAAAATACATTGGAGCATGCGGACACACAGACATACTGTACCCACAGGCTCACACCAGAGGTTACACACATACTCGGGCACATACCCAAACCTTCCTTTACCTCCTTGCTCTGTGCTGAAGGCTGCCACTGTGTCAGTGACTCTAAATCAGAGTGAGACCTCTCTCGCAGACTGGGGAGTGTGCGGGTTGGGGGCATTTGCTGAATGTACCCCATCCAGTGAGTGGCTTGTCCTCTGCAGCAGTGCAGCCTAATTACGGTGGGCTCTGCTTCGACGGGAATAGAACTGGCTGCCAATACTATTGATAATTCACACAGACTAAGCTGTCGCAGGGAATAGGGATGGGCAAGAGGAAATGGCTCCGTTTTATTAGTTTCCACTGCCCTTTGATGTGCAGTCAAGAGCGAGACATGCCAAGAGACTCATGCCAGATGGAAGCACTACAGCTGAAAGGTGTCTCAATGCTTTTAACATAACTCTTTTTGCATGTGAAACCTAGAATGATAGCTATTAGTGTCATGTAGCCAAACATTCCCCCTCAATTTATTTCACCATGTTTTATTACTCAGCTGGCTCAGTGCGAGGAGGCCGGCTGGAGCTGGGCAGCAGTAAAAGCTATGGGATTTCTTGGACATTGTCTTACTGGGCTACAGTCTGACTGTCTTTGAACCTACAGACAGATGTGTTGCTAGAAATCTGAACCTCTTGAAAGCAGCTTAACCCTCCATTAAGGGTTTCCCTCTCCTAGCAACACCTGCAGGGGGTTTGGTGACTGAATAGACCAAATCTCAATGTTTGTTGGCACAAACTTCTGGGTGGAAAACCACCACGCCATAAATGTGAGATAAAACGGGTCTGAGCAAATGCTACCTCAACTAGTTGGTTTTTAGCCGCCTAAAAAAGACCCCCTGTATGTGTACGCTAAATTTTAGCTATATTTAGAATATTTTTACTGCTTTACCTTACTGTCAAACAGTCTTTTCTAACGGGAAACTGCAGCCTTAAAGCTACCAGACGCCATAGATAACATCAGTAATTTTACTTCACAGAACACAGGAGTTGCTGGTCTACCACTATATTCCTAATATAGCATACACTTACAATGATATTGATTTCTTTAGGTGGGTCTTTTTAGGTAGCTAAAATATGTTTGTAGCGGCATGTGTCCAGAGCAGTACATTTCTTAGCTTCCATGCTGATAGATCTGGCTTAGCAAAGACGCTAGCAAAGCAACACAGTACATACAATAGGAACAGCAGAAATGTCAGATAGGCCAGACCACAGTGTTTAACTATGTGTCTTTTAGGGCTGTAACTAATGATTATTTTCATTGTCGACTAATCTGTCGATTATTTCTTCGATTAGTCGACTAATCATTTTACTGAAAAATGTGTCAAAATGTTGAAAAATGTTGGTCTGTCTCTCCCAAACCCCAAAATGATGTCATCTAATGTCTTGTTTTGTACTCACGCCAAAGGGTTTGAGTTCACCATCATGGGAGAGTGTGTAAAACTGCCAATATTTGAACGCAAGAAGCTGAAATAAGAGTGTTTTGGGGTACTTTTATAGTACTTTTTCTATGAAAAATGACTCAAACCGATTAGCCGACTACTAAAATAGTCACATATTATTTTATTAGTCGATTAGTCATGGATAAGTCAACTAATCGTTGCAGCCTAAGTGTCTTTAAACTTTACAGTTACGGTTTAAAATGATAACAAAAATTATCAATTATGTCGTCTTCTGGTATCTATGCAATTGAAATCAATCGCCAGTTGTCTACCTGGAAGTGATTGGTGTTAGCGCAACATGACAGCAATTCGGTCTATAATTGGAGTCAATGTAAAAACAAGAAAGAGTAAAATAAAGTAAAACACTTCATCACCACCTCTGGTTTGGGACTCACCTCAGGCTTCTTGACTCTGCCCTCCTGGAAGGAACACGTCCGTGGGTCGTGGGTACAGTCATGCCTGTATTTACACCAGTGGCACTGGTAAGGACTGCTCACACATGACAGACACCTGAGTGGAGAGCAGAGAAGAGTGAAGACCGTGCTATGAATTACTGTGGAATAGCAGCAAATACACTAGAGAAGAGAAGCTCAATATGCCTACTTAGTTATGTATACAGTACAATTTCTAACAGTTTAGGAATCAATGGCAGTTGTTTCGTCAATAGGAAGGGATTAGAATTACGACAAGCTGTCTGCTAGAAGGAAGTGCTCCTGAGAGCCATGAGTAGACACAGACTTACGATTTGTGCACGCTGCAGTTGTAGAAAACAAAACTGGTGTTCGCAAACGCCAGGCCTGTCTCCTTGGACTTGAGATAGAGCTGCACAATCTGGTGGTCACCTGGTTTAAACACAACAGTCAAAATTATAGTGGTAGATGTTTTGTATTCAGGTTAAAAAAAAACTGAACTCACTGCTGACAGTTTTCTTCAACTTTTCAAACAAATAGAGACAAAACAGTATTATAATGGTAATAGTTGCATGTCACAGCTACTCTTCCAGCCCGAGCAATTGGTAGACACATTTAAAGAACCCCTGCCTGTACGATAATCATTTTATTCTCTTGTTCACTTATCCTTTTTTTGGTGTCTAGTCACATTAGATTTTCCCATGAAGAAGAGATGACGGCGCTACTTTGAGCCACAGGTGCTCAGCCTGTTGCAGTGGTAGAGGCATTATCTTAAGAGAGAGGGAGAGCAGAGGGGGTTTGTTGGGTTAAGTCTCCCTAAACCTACCGCCTTACAAGAGGCTATAAAAGTTGGAGCACACGCATTTCCCTTGGGATGGAAAATATTCCCCTGGAAAAGTCTTTGAGAGTGTCTTTGACAAGGTAAAGGGGGAAGAAGATGAAACAGATACCGTGTGTGTGTGTGTGTGTGTGTGTGTGTGTGTGTGTGAGTGTGCATGAGCTTGTGCGTCATCTGTATTTGGTGTGTCCTTTTGTCTGGCCCTAATGAAGGAGTTCATGTTTAATTCAACAGCACATCCACACATCTAACTGCTCTGTCTCTACACTACCTCTGTACCTCTCCCTCTCATCCCCACTCTATCTCTACACACAGGTCTCTTTCGCTTCCTTCCACACTGCGACTCCTTCTTCTCCCCCGTGTCTCTCTCTCCATCTCCCGAACAAAGAAGGAATCATTCATCAATCACAGTAAAGCACCGCTGACAACGGATCTGTCCTAATTAGGCCACCTAAATGTTACCTTGAAGCCTGCTAACGCTATCTATCCCTCCCTCTGTCTTCACTCCATCCGTCTCTCTCCTTTCTTTTCTCTCTTTCAACCAAGCTTAGACTAATGAGTACTGGTAAAAATGGAAGATGAAAGGTTCAAGTATAGGCAAAATGTGGAATATTTTTCCTCTTCCTGAAGTATATAACTGTGTGTTTGCGGGTGTGGGAGTAGCAAAAGATGGGGGAGAAATGCTCTGTGCCTTATTTGTGTGTGTCTCAGAGTACATATTTATACATCTATGTGTGCAGCATCGCCAGCTTTACATCTGGTTGACATGGCAAACATTAAATAAATGTTTTTTAATTCCCCAAAGCACCCTCAGGCTCCCTGTCAGCCTTACACGTGAACATGTGTGCTGTCTATCCGAGGATTACTTTATTGCAGTGGTGTTGTGTGTTTGTTCATGTGTCAAGCTTCTGTTCATGTGGGTGCGCTGAATAAATGAAGGCCAATTTGAATATTTGTGCTTGTGTACAGCTCCAGCCTAAAAGGTCTCACCAGTACTGTAATTTCATGATGATGTGCTCACCTTCCCTCTCTGCACATTAGTACTTATCTCGTGGTTTTGGCTCCAATATCTACAATTCATATATAACATTTTTGTAAATGGCACACAAGCAAGTATGTAAACCATTTTCTTCCAAGCGGCGGCATCCAAAAAACATCAAAAAGCATTCCTTTGTATGCAAATTTTGAGGATTATTGATGGATCACCATCTTTTTTACGTTCTATTTTCTCTTTTCATTAATTATTCATTTTGTCTTTTTCGGGAAATATGGGAGGAGATGGTATCTTCATTATCTCAACGTGAGGACACACTGAGGCTTGGTGATGAAGGATTGCCTGCCTGGGGACAGGCCTTCCCAGATGGGAGCTTTGTTCAATTAGACCGGGCTTCGCCGACCACAGAAAGGGGAGGTGAGGAGCAGGGGAATTAGAAAAAGAAAAAGAAAATATTTTCCCTCTTTTGCTTGTGGTATGAATATTGTCAAAATGTTTTAGCTGTTTGCCTCCTGAAAGAAATGAAAACAGCGACATTGTCTGTGGGGACTGTGTAATCTCCAGGCACTAAATTAACCGAAATACTGGAGTAAAAACACTTAGTTGTGCAGCTTGATATTCTCCTTTTTTTACGCAGGGGTTAACTGGGGTCCCATCACTCCCTCTGGAGCACATCCACTTTGAGGGAGGATGATAAATAGATCCCACAGCAGCCTAATAACTAATGTTCGTTCAATTACTAAACATGTCCTAGGGCAGTGCTCCGAGCCCCACAGAGTTACTGATGGCAACGGGAAAACAAAAATTCATAAAACATTCTTAGCCCTAGGACTAGCATGCCTCTGACTGAAGGGAAAACATCTAGATCAATGCCTGCTTCCCTTACAGACATGTATGTTTGTATTCAACAGGTGCTCTAATGTATCACTCTTTAAATATATTTTTCCCTAATATTACATATAATGACATTTTGTCAGGCTGGGGCCCTTCTGTGTTGAGTATGCACGTTCTCCCTGTGTCAGCGTGGGTTTTCTGGCTTCCTCCCACAGTCCAAAGATATGCAGATTAGGTTAAGTGGTGACTTTAAATTGCCAGTAGGTGTGAATGTGTGCGTGAATGGTTGTCTAGCTCGACTAGGCCATTTAGTTGGACTCCTGTCCTTGTCCCAGTATACAAGCACGGAGGGGAATCGATTTATTGACCTAAGTATGTCCAACTTTGCTACGGTAGGTGGCAATATGCCCTCTTTCAGCTTGTTAGTACTGGACCTTTTTCTGGTTGACCTATTACGCCACAGACCAAACAACAAGCAAACGAGTTAGCTACACTTTAGCTAGCAGCAAACTGGTACCATGTTCGACAACTTTACAGCTCTGTACATTTCGTCCAACCAAACATGCACAGCTCTTGATGTAGATTTCGCCACGTTGTTACGAACTTCTTCTTCTATTACGCATTTAATGCTTTCGACTTCCAAGTCAAAGCCCGGGGCGGACACTGTGGAGCATGCGCCAAGTGCCTCAGCCAGTTGGGGTCTGACTGTATACATGCAGGAGTAATTCGACTCCTAGCTGCATTATCTGGGTATGTTAGTCCAACAGAAATTCAATTTAGCACGATTTCAGTTGGACGAACATGTTTACATGTATTTTAAAAGACTTAATAACTTGGACTAACACAATAAATCGTTTTTCTCCAATGTCATGTAAACTTAGATCGTCTGATGACCTGTCCAGGGTGTACCCTGCCCATTGTCAGCTGGGATAGGCTAAAACCCCCTGCAACCCTTTTAAGACAATAAGTGGTTGGAGATTCCGCCTGAGTATCACAGGTGTTGATCTTTTTGTATATGTTAATGATGCACACATCAAAACAAATGCAAACAGTGTGACATCTGCCACTGGCTGGAATGGATTGTGTGTTTCATGATCTATGGGCAAAAAGGTTACAATAGGCCCACCCTTACCTTTGTCAACAATAATGCGTGGCATCTCTTTCTCAGCAGGGGAGGAGCACTTGATTCGGTTTCCCTCCACCAAGCCGTTCATCTCAGCCAGATCCTCAAAGGTGCAATTAACACCCGCAGAAAGTTCTGGGACATTATGGGCCTCCAGCACCAACTGTAGAGGAGAGAAACATTAAGCTGTCAGTACTCTGTGCAATATAATGCTAAGTATTCACTTCACAGCAATTCCCTGAACTGTTATAAGACATATAATAGAACAACAAAATGAGCTTGAGAAAATGACCAGTAGATCTAATATTATGGTTAACCATAGCAAAAACAAAACAAAGGAATGGAGGAATCAATTAGGTTTCAGTGGCTTCATATTCATAGCAGCACACAGCATGACATTGCATTTTTTAATGCTGCCAATGGTCAGAGATAAACAAGTTAGATCCGTGCCCCAACTGTGACTACAGTGCTCAGATCCCCACATCTGTGAGGACTTCAGATCAGTTTTGGAGCCAATATGTTCTTCAGATACGACTGTAACACAATATTACTGAGGAGAAGCACAGCTGCAAGTTCTGTGCAGAGTAATGATCCATCTGCAGCGTGGTCCGTGGCCAAAGGAGCCACTGGGGGACTCTTGAATGGGAAGTTAATATATGAACAGGCATCAGATGCATCCTGCCCAGACAAATAACAATAAAACACTCTGATGCAGAAAGATATAGATTTACTTAAAACTAAAATCAGTGCCATCTTTATAGCTCTTATCTGATGGCCAAAAGCACTACTACCTTCTTGGCCACCTCCCATAATGCATGTGGCATTGATGAGCTGTATGGATTTAACATTCCGTCTCCCTAACTAAGTAAAATAAGTGATGAAAGCAGGAAGTTGAGGTCAGTGGAGGGATGAGGAGAAAATTGAATGTAGATGGCTGAAACAAAGTGCTGGATGAAAGGAGATAGAAATAGCAGGAGGTGAAGAATGGTGGAGAGGAGAAAAGTGCAGGCATACAGGCTGCTGGCCAGGCAGGGAAAAGAGGACTCTCTAGTAAACGGAGAATGCAAATCTTCCCTCTTCATTTGAAAACGCTGCGTAAGCGCTCTCTGCACCTCAGCAAAAACTGGCTTCAGGTGAAGCAGGAGGGGAAAAAAACACTGTCCTTGAATGAGAAGGGAAAAAAAGAGGGTCGTGGATGCAGGTGGAGTGGGGTCAAGACCAAAATATACATATTGATGGAAAAGCGTGTCTGCAGTGGGCCTTGGTCTGGGCATTGATTTGAGGCGCAGTCCATAGTACACTTGTGATGTGAAGCTGAAAGCTGCCTCAGCGGCAGAGAAGGGCTGACCTGCGCTGTTTTTATATTGCTGTTTAATGAAAAGACGGTGGCGTGGCTGTGAACGGATACACAGCTTCCCACGCAAGATGGACAGCACACCACCGGGCTTCCATCTCTAACACATCCTCTCTCATTCGTTGCTGACTGTACGTCTCATCTTCTTCTTCTCTCGCTTTAATTTATTTTTCCTATTTGCCGAGAATACAGCCAGACCTTGAGTTTCCTGAATTACATTTAGAGTAGTCATGGCTAAGCCTTGCCACAGCAGGGCTGCATAAATATGAAAATAACCTACTCATATAAACAGAAACAACCTCTCACACACACATACACACACACACTAACAGATACACAAATGCCCTCCTGTAGTTTACAAAACACCATATCTAATGCAGAGGATATGTGATGATGGACTGTTCATATTCCCATGGTAAGAAGAAGTCTTAGCTGCAAATGATTGGTGAGAATGTATTCAAAAGCAGATGCCATAAAAATACAGCAGAGAAGGAAATTATTTGACTTGAACTTTTAATCTACTTACATTCTTTATTTTAAAATAAGCATCAAATCAGCCTACTTAACTTAACATTTAATCTATTGTAATGTATAAAATTAGACTGTATGTGAGCCTATTAAAGGAACACTTCATCCCCAAAATGACCATTTGTATATCACTTACTCACCTGTGTTACATTTAATTTATGAAGAAAACTTGCATGCCTCCACTTTGAATGCAGAATCAAAAACCACAACAACAGCAGCAAAGCTGCAAAGCTATATCAAAACAGTCATTTCCAAACTCTCACACAACTTGTGAAGTATCATCCAAGCCTCATTTATCAAATTGCATGCTCTACTATCCAAACGGACAGCTCTTTTCGACGAGGAACTGAAGGGAAATTGCTGAAGCTCTCTTCAAACAAGACTCCATTAACAAAAACAGTACTTTTACCTTACTGAACATGGGAGCTGCTGGTCTACCACTGCCTCAATTGCCTCAGTCTAGCTTTTAGAGAGCATAGATCCGGTTCACTTTCAGTTTAGTACCCTATTGGAAAGGACTGTCTGTTTAGGGAGTACTGAGCATATGACTAGATAAATAAGACTTGGATTACACTGCACGAGTTGTATGAGTTTGTTAACGGGTGTTATGATATAGTTTTGCTGTTGTGAAACATGGACCCCTACTACTTTAATTCATCAAGAATTTTCTCCGCTTTTAGATGCTTCGTTCACCATGGCATGCGAGAAATATAAAGTTTTCTGCATGTATTCAATGTAACACAGGGTGAGTAACTGATACACAAAGGATCATTTTGCAGGTGAAGTATTCCTTTAAAGACACATTTACAGCCATTCAACCAGAAATAAGTTTTTATCTTTATTAAGTTGGTAGGTAGATATTATTCAAGAGTTAAATTGAATATATACTTCAATTAAAGACAGAGCAACATGTGTACGGATATAGAGACAACTCTTCCTAAGCTCACAGTATAACAGTAAAAATCCATTCATAACCAACCACACACAGAATTAAATGTAAAAGAAATTTATGACTTGTTTCCCTACAGTGGGTCTGATTTCAACAGTGGAGTGTCTGTTTCTTTCGAGACTGCCTTGGCTTATCTTTCCAAACAAATATTTAATAACAAAGGTCAAGGAGGAGCCCCTGTCTGTCTGGCAGAAGCCTCTGCCCCGCAATCAGTTGGATGGGAGATGTGTGGCATAGCCTTTGGGTAAGGCCTACTTGCTGGGAAAAGGTTAAACACTCTTTAAAGGATCAGGCTTGAGCTAGATCACACACACACACACACACACACTATGAATATCATTAGAGTGATGCAGAGGTGTACCTCAGAAAATCAACACCTCTCATGTGACCCTCAGAGCAACAGGGATGGAGAACAGTCAGTCAGGCCTGACCTTAGAAAATCATATTGGATATTTATGCTCTTAAGTCTCTGAGATTCAAAGCCATTTCCAGACCACCATTATATAGGAAATGGGAATTGAAATGTGACATCACTTAAGGTGGTTAAGGTCAATGGGATTTTCAAAACATCCATTGTTACAACCTTTAAAATGGGTGCTGAGGTTTGATAAAGAAAAACAGTGAGTCTTGAAAGATACAGAATAGCATGATGTGTTCAGGGCAATGTCAGTCTTCTGCTGGTAAAATCAAATACACCAAAAGACACGCACAGGTACCACACACACACACCAACACAGCCACTGAAAAACATGAGAAACCACCTGTTCCTGTGCCACTGAAAAATAACTGTCATATCAGTTTAGGCTACACATAATGTTCAAATGTGAAGGTTGATTTTATTTGTGGTGCTAGCTTAGGTGATGCCTCTCTCTACACTAGTGATGTTGTGCAGCTGCATGCCTATTTTTAGCAGCTCCTCTATTTGCTTTGATCATCTACTGGTAGCGTGAGACTGTGAATGTGAGAAAACTACTTGTTGTCTCTCGTTCTTGTTTTATTTGGTTTTGTTGATGTTGTGGATTGTCTATGATGTGATGATTGAATGTCTTGTACTTGTTTTGTGCAGACCCTGCAAAGAGTAGTTGTAACAGTAACAACTAATGGAGACCCTGAATAGTAATAAAAAAAAAAAAAAAAAAAAATCAGTATGAGCCTTTGGCTGGGGTGAAATGTGGCACAGTGCAAGATGATGGAGCGAGGTAACTCCCACAGGTCTCTCTTGATTAATTTCCCTCCAATACAACACAAATTTAATCTGCTTTAAGAAGCATAGTCTTTCGAAACTGTATATAACAGTATAACCTACTTAAAGTATCTTAGTACAAGTAAAATTGCACCTGGGGCTGCAGCTATCAATTATTTTAGTAATCAAGTATTCAATAGATTAAGCAAGAAATCGGATAAGAAATACTTCTGATTAATTAAAGAGTAATAGTAATTAAATATACAAATGACAAAAAAGACAGATCTCTTAGAGGTACAGTGTGTAGGATTTATGAGGATAAATTGGCAGAAATGTCATATCATATAATAAGTATGTTTTCTTTAGTGTGTAATCGATTGAGAATAAGAATTGTTGTGTTTTCATAACCTCAGAATTAGACATTTATATCTACATGGGGAGCGAGTCCTCATCCATGGAGATCACCATGTTGCACTGCCATGTTTCGGCAGTGGCCCAGAACAGACAGACCAAACACTGGCTCGAGATAGGGCCGATCATATTTTTGTGTCAGCTACCATAGTCAGCAGCCCCAACGCCATGAAAGTGACGTTTGAATCAGAAAAAAAGTTGAGCCCACATTAGCTGCACCAAGCCGAGCAGCGTAGGAAAAACACTGATTTGTAATGTGAAACTGGTTTATTCAGTATTTTACCAGTTTTAATCACCTGGTCCATTTGTTTTGGAGAGGAAGAGACCTCTGCGGACAATTCAGTGCCTGATAAAAACCTCCTCAACAATGAGCTACTGAAGGAATTATAATCGGGAGAAGTTTCAGCTGGTTGCAATCTGCTATCCTCACCACTAGATGCCACTAAATCCCTATAAATCTTACACTCTGCTCCTTTAAACAACGTTTTGATGCAAATTATTTGCATCAATGATTTTTTAGTAATGGAGTTACTATTAGTTATAGTTGCTATTAAATCACATTCTCTTCTAACAGCTATGAGTGCACAGACAGGGTTTTGCAGAAAGGCAGTTACAAAAGTACGGAAAAACAACAACCTAACCACAACCAGCTAACAGCTGTTTATATTTTACCAGTTCCTGCAGATATATTTGAAGTTCCAATGTATCACAGCTCCTTGCACGCGAATCAATACACTTAAGCAATCAAAACAATTCAGACCTTTAAATCAGGCAGCTGTTTAGAATGAAATGACTCGGGGGGGAAAAACTGTTGCATTCAGTTGCCAACAATCACATAAACACAGCTGAGCTAAACTGTGTGCTGTTAATGATTGTTGACATTTGCTGGGAGAGTATTTCACTGGACGGGACTGGAAGTTGTGAGGTCAGGATTTGAAGGATGCATGTTGGCAGGCAGTAAAATGATGTAAAGCAGGATTATACAGTTAACACTGTCTACTAATCAGTATCTAGAGCATAATTACATCGCATTACAAATTATGCTTGAGTGTGTGATATTGTCAATCTGCCAGACAAGATTTTCTCACTTGCAACACATTCAGCTAGCCTTACTGTTTACTGCAATATGGCTCCACTAAAACAAATGCTTGCTGACGTGTTTCTTCCGTACTGAATGGAAAAATATATTGAATCACTGCTAATTAATATTGGAACACATTTTAAATGGCACAAGAAAGAGACACAGTCATAAAACAACAAGATATGCCGAGACATCTGAAAAGAAAATCTGCACTGGTAAAGTTTGTTATATCAGAGACAGTAAAGATGCATGAGAGGAAACTTATGATATGGCAAACTATGTGCACAACCTTCTTTTTTAGTGTAGATGAGGAGTAGTGTGGCGCTTTCCACTCACCGTGACACTAAACTGGGACACTGAGATGTTGTTTGGGTGGACGCTGAGACGCACACACTGCTTGATGTCTGATGCAAAGCGACGGGGCTCTGATGAGCGCTCGCATTTCTCCTTTCTGGTGCACCTGGAAAAAACACAAGAGAGGCGGCATTATTCACGGATGAAAGACACACACACACACACACACACACACAGACATATACACGACTGTTAGTAACCTGACCAGGTCCTACCCCTTTCCACCTGTTGGCACCTGGGAAAAAGAGAATGTCCCGCCGCTCCCTGACGGACGGAGTTAGACACATTTATCATATTTCCTCTCTGGCAGTGTACTAGCTACAGTGGCTGGTGAATGGAAACCCGGTCTCTGGGGGGCGGGAGCGGTGGCATTTAAAACAATGGTTGCTCTATATGTGGAAGTGGAGCCGGTCCGTTGGGAGCGAGGTAGGCCTCGTCTTTGTAATGCTGTCTTAATGACTGGCATTCATGGGCAATGCCAAGCGCAGGTGGAGATGTGGATGTTGGTGGGGGGGCAGGGGTGGATTCCTCTGCCTCTTAATACCTCACCAGGTGGTCTAATCCAGTCCATTACATTGGTTTGGGGAGCTAGGAGGACTGGAGTCTTTTTGTTGGATGAGGAATTTAGCTGCTCCTGTTCTGAACACTATCCCTCGACATACTGCGGGGTAAGTCCCCATAGTTCGATGATCTAAATGGGTTTGTAAGTGAGGAGGGTATGAGAGCTGCAATTCATTCCCAGCAAATACCTGCAGTGGAAACAAAGATTATGTATACGCATACAAAAGTATAAGAAAGAGACAGTGCAGGGCCCTTCTACTACATATATTACATAACACTGAGTTGCATATTAAACTGGGTGGATGGAGGTTATCAGGCAGACTCTGAGGACTCCCTGGGGTCGCGAACCCTCTGTTGAAATCCAAGGCTCTAAATCATAACTTATGGCCCACTACAAGTATTTGGCAGTGTATTTATCTGCAGAGACCCTGCCCTCTGTCGAAACTGCCTGTACTTTTTGATTTTCCATTCATTTTGCTGTGTTTGGGACTGTCCTGGTCAGCATGCAGATAGCTGGAACTTCATAGGAAGATAGCGACCAGAGGCCAAACCGTAAGCAGCACAAATCCAAGAAGCTGCTACAAAAATCGAAGACACAGCACCAAAAAACCCCCCACATATATAGCAAGCTGAATCATTAAGCGTACAAAGCTGGGTCTCACTTTTACTGGAGATACTGTTGACGACAGTAGATGACAATGCCTGCACAGTATACCTTTAAATGTTGCAGCGGGAGTGGTTGATAAAGCACTGTCGGAGCTTTAAGTTGTTTATAAGTGTACACTTGGTGAGAAATTCTGAGAGAATTGTGATATAACCTCAACCTTCTACCCTTCTCCACACATACAAACACACACACACACACACACACACACACACACACTCTCTTGTTCCCATCTAATCCCCTCATAAACTTATGCAAGTTTAATCCCCTATTGATTAAGACAAAAACTTGCAATGTGCAATTAACAACCTGGCAAATCCAGAGTGCCCTAAAACTCCTTTACAGAAATAAAGGACCGAAAAGAAAGAGAGCGGTCGTAATGAAGGAATGAAAGAAAGACCTTCGAGATGGTTGACGTTTGAGATACAGTAATACCTTTATGCAGCAAGACGCTTTTTATCCTGAATTGGAGACACTGAGGGAGGGTGGGTTTTGACCTGACATGAGTTGTAAAGTTTTTAGTTATTGTAAAGTTAAGCAGCCTAACGTGCCGCAAAGAGGACTGACATAAAGAAAAAGAAAAGAAATAATCTGTTTGAGAGAGGATGAGAGAACAGGAGGAGGGGTAAATAGTGCAGGAGAGAGGCAGAGAGAGTGTGGAAATGAAAGCAGAAGAGGAGCAAGATTTAAAGGAAGGCAACCATTGTTGGATTTCTGTGAAGCTTTCACTGCTAAGCCGGTTTGAGTAGGGGTTTAATCGCTTCGGGTTCTTTTGTGCTTCTCTATCACTCCTGTCTGTTCCTCCTTTTCTAGCACTGATTTAATAAGACCACATCGTATAAGTACCCCCAGGCAAACAACCCACACAGAAACCCACAAATGCACACTTTCACCTACTAATACACCAACAATATATACACTCAGTTTGCCTTCTTGCATACCCACAGGTCTGCTGTTCACCCCAGTGGCAGAGTAACACTGTAAAGAGACGCTAAGCAGGACATTTTGTCAACGTGCTCGCACTGTATGTGTATTGTTGTGTGTGCGTATTTGTATAATGACGTTTCTCTTTGTGCCTGTTCCTTGACAGTGTCACTGTATATTCTGATTTTGTAGGAAAAACCTCAAATCTCATGCCACAAAGACTGGCAGTAATGCATTAATAATGTTTATTGGCACAATCTCTGTGAGTGAATCATCACTACGAGTGACTGAATCATTGAATCAATCAAGTGAATAATAAATGGATGAATAAAGGTTTACAACATTCCATCAATTTCTCCCTCTCTCATACACACACACACACACACACACACACACACTAAATATACAGCTATATTCTGAGCCACACGACATACTGTTGAGAGAGGCTCTGTTCCAAGAGTTTGGAGTGCCCTGTAAAGTTCCACAGTGTAATTAAGAAAGTAGTGCCCACGGCATGTACTCTACTTTCTGCTAACAGTCCCACATGCATTTTAAAATTGCGTTTATTACCACTGAACAACTTCACACCTGTCAGTGATGACACAAAATGATGATAACCAAGGCTGCGTTCAGACTGCAGGCAAATCAGAAGTGTTTCTCAAATCAAATCTTTAAGACAGACTGTCCGCACTGTGGCTTGCAAGAGAACAGACCAGATTCGTTTGTCTACACATCACCAACCTACCTAAATGGGTTGCTGTGGTAACGATGTAGGTGTCAGTAACTACGTAACTATGCTGGTGATGTGGCTTTCCAATGCAGAAGCAAGCATCTTTTTGTTTTGTTTTTTTTATCTAATTTTATCAAATATATTTTTTAAATGGAGTCCGTATGTTCCAGATATTCATTATAAAAGCTGTAGAAAGTTTATTCAGCAATATAAAAAATGTAAAATAAACTTTAATGCACAACAAATAAAATTTACGAAAAAGGAAAGGAAACATAACAAAAACAAAAAAAAGCCAAGTCATTTTAAATAAAAATAAAGTAATTTTCATCTTCCCAAATATTGGCATTGTAAGCATGACAAATAGAAGTCTGTCTTTTTGCATGTATAAAAGTCTCCCCCCAAAGTGCCAGCATACAGTTTATTTCTGTGACTCTTGTTCTCCATGATGTCCGGCAAATAGACTTAGCTCGGCACTTCTATCACTCTGGATATGATGTTGAGGTAGGGTGTTGCGCTGCGAGTGACACCTACTACAGTTTGAAATCTGATTTGAGCAGCCAAGACGTCTGGACTGAGAAATCTGATTCAAATTGCATTTTTTAACCATCTCCAAATGTGATTTGGATCCCATCTGAAAAAGTCACAATTCATATGTTTTTTACTGCTGTACAGATTTTTGAAAATCAATCTAGATATGCCAAAACAGATTTGGGCTGGCAGTCAAAACAAGGCCAAATCTGAATATACTGCTCACTATAGCATTAACTATTTAGTGTCCATTATATACAGAGTGCTGAATAAAGGAACAAGGGAGTAATTTCGGACACAGCCCTGCTTAACTTCAGCTCCCTGTATAGCTCAGGTTTATGACATCATCTCTGTGAGATGCTAGTGGCTGTAAATAACACTCGGGGAAATGAGGAGTGGAAGAATGATGATGCAGGGAAACAGACAGAATCAGAGTGAACAAGACAAGCTGTAGGCAAGACTTGTTAATGTCCATCTCGCAGCAAATAATGTTTTTAGGTTGGGTTTTTATGTGTGTGAGTCACAATGTACAATGTTTATGAGAAATAATTACTTTGGTGAAAATTTGCAGCCCACAAGTTTTATCATTTGCAACACGGTTACAAGCCAACAAGGCGTAATGAGGCAGTGTGAGTTGATGAGTGCAACAACTAGAACTGGCATGTCTGGACGGGGGCCGGTTAATACATTATCATTAGAGAGGGTATATCACTCTGCTCTAAAAAGTGGATAGGGGCCAATTTGTTTGGCTTGTTATGCAAATGTGCAGTGGACCTGGGACTTTTTTATATAAAAAAAAAAATACCATTACTCAACAACAACTAAGAACATCAATCTAAAGGAACTACCTACTACCCTACAAACTTACTTCCTACACTTGTGTGTATATGTTTGTCCATTTTGCTGTATCATCCCAGATTCTGCAACTAAAACACATGGATCTGTATCTAAAAACAAGCGATCACATACTGCACTTCATTTAAGTTTTAATCTTAGGTCAGACAGGGCTCACACATTTTTCTAAACATCAAATTCCAGGCCCAATATCCTCAAATTCAAGGACCCAACACAGCACAGTTTGAGACAAGGATCAAGGTTAATTACCGTTATAACTCTGAGACTATTTATAATTAGAAGTAGCAGGCTTTATAGAGGCTCACAGACAATTAAAAAGAGAGAAAGGACTGAATGTGTGAACATGCCTTGATTGCTAATCTCACTATCTATCCTTGCAAAACAATCATAAAAAAATACTATATTTTCAAAAAAACTTTCAAGGATTTCAAGGACCTGTGGGAACCTTGTCAACCGTTCCCTGTGGGCATGCAGCCACTATTAAATACCATCATTTTCCAAATGATGTCTTCAGATTTTCTAAAAAGGGGAATTACATCCATTTTCAAAATTCATACATTATTCATTTGGTCTAATGCTGTGTTCACAATTAAAGCAACAATGCAACAGCGTGACCAGCTACCACAGTCTTGCTCAAGCGCTCGTTAACATAGTTACATCATCACTGGCTTTTGTGTGTCTGCTACTTGCCAAAAAGCACCTTGACTGAACGTCATCTAATGTTTGTAGTTGGTCGTAAAATATCTATGCCTATGGTCAGTGTCCAAGCTCCATTTCAACATCACATCTTGCAGCCCCACTGCATCCCCAAGTGCACCGCAAGACACACAAAGCTAGCATCAGC